CAATTACATGTTTAATATTTGCAGCTAATTGACGTGGATAATTTATGATTATAACATGTGCGCGGTGAAATTTTCCGATCGCATACGGTGCATGTTATTGTTATTCAACAACCGTGGCACTAGAAAGTGAACACTTACATCTATTTCTCTCGCCTATTTTCAGATTTAAAAGCTGAACCACACGCAAAATCAAATGATTCGAAATAATAATAACATTATGCAACTTACGATTATCAGCTTCGACGGGATCCGGCATCCAGGATTCCCAATTCTCGTAGTTCTCCTCGGTGGGCGCGTTCTCATCCACCCCCTCGGGTCTCACCAGTTCATCCGCCAAATCGTTCGAACCCTCTTCCGTTAAACTACTTACCACGCATCTGCAAGATATTCGTTATTTGCATCACTCTAACTCACTTTACTTCATCTCATCACAGTTCATACCTAACAGTATCCTCGCGACTCCTCAGATATTGATGAACAGGTTGAGTTATCGTACCCAACATAAGACCTGTCGGATCCAAGATCCGCATGGATCTGATTGCAGCAACGTACGCAGTTAATATATCCGGAGTGCTGACCCCGGGATGCAGAAGACGCGTCTCCATCGCTTTCTGCAGTTTCTCCGTGAGGAAAGATCTGAGATCAGTCTTCGGTAGGCAAGTCCGCAGATCCTCCAACGCGGGTAAAGATTCAGGATACTCAATGATGATATTGAACAATTGAGATATCCTGATCTTAGTGTAGGTCTCATACAAATAGTTGACCAATTTCTTAGTCAATTTGACGATTTCCGTGCCACTCGAAGACGGATTATAATAGATCTTATTCAACCATGGAATCACCACAATGTACAACCACTACAAAATATAATAATTATAGAAAATCATAATGATATTGTAGAACTTGTACTAACTTTCTTTAAAGGCTCAATATACGCTGCGTCGAAGTTATCTTTACACGTCTTCTCTATATGACTCTCAATGTAACTGTAGATCATCGATGTGAGAATTTGCCCAACAAGTGGCTCAATTAAACTTAAGTCAGTCAATTTCCTTAAAAACAAATATATGAAAGTGAATCTTTCAAATTAAATTAAACTAAACATACTCGTTGATTTCATTGAAATATTGTGTGCACAAACATTCTTCCTGATGGCAAATAGAGCAATTACCATCACTCATAAAAACCTCACTATCTTCTATCCTTAAAGCCAGCTTATAGAAGCTCTCCACAGTTGGTTTATAGTTCAAAGGCATCTGCGACAATAAAACAGATCGAAAAATCATTTGCAATCCATTCTCCACTACCTCCTCATGATATATATGCTTCTTGAAACCGGTGATGTTCCGCAAATGCTCTATCCTGTATGTCAGCACTTTGAACTGTGAATAATATTCGAATAAGAGCTCAATTGCACAGTAGAAATTTCTGAAGCAATCAAATTCACACTCCTGATGTTTGAAGTAAGACCAGAACTCTGGCACTATGTTCTCCCTTATATGCTTCTCAATACGATTCAGCACCAGATTCTGTACGGTCTCTGTTAACTTTAAGTTCTCTATCAGATTCACGATAGCTGTGAACTCTTCTTCATTGATGTTATTTGGAAATGGCTACGAAAGATCAATTCATTTGGAATTTAAATACATTATTCTGTGTGTAGTTAGTTACCAATGTGTACGTTTTCGATAATATTGGGAAGGCTTTTTCTATCAAAGCCCAAGCAGCTTTATAATCAAATTTCTCGCTCATCTTTTAACTTGTTGTGTTAATATATTTTCGAGGTTAAACAATTGTCAAAACATAGACAAACAAAATTTCAAATTCTCTACCAATAAAATAAACCAAAAATTACCAAGGAATAATTTAAAATTTTATTAACGTTTACTGTACTTAAATAGGATCTTACTAACATTAAAAAGAAAGTATTATTGATACATAATTTATAATTAAGTAAATGGAAAACATTAAGCACTTAATCAGAGTCAGAGTCTGAACTAGATTCACTACTGGATGATTTCCTCTTCTTCTTCTTGCTCTTCTTCCGTTTCTTCTTTTTATGTTTTTCATCAGAATCACTGCTGCTGCTGCTATCTTCACTCTCTGAATCACTGCATTTCCTTTTCTTGGCCTTCTTTGATTTCTTCTCCTTCTTTTTCTTCTTCTTTGAGGACTTCTTTTTAGATTTTTTCAGCTTCTCCTTCAGCTCTTTCTCCCTCAACTCAGTTAGCGGTGTCAAGTAATTGGTGTCCTCAGAATCACTGCTCGTACTGCTCACATCCAGCACAACATCCTTGTTGGGATCTACTTTTATGAAATTGCGACACTGATAGGTGAGATGCCCAGCGTATCCACACTTCTTGCACGCAGGTCTTGAGGTTTCTTTGCTTGGAGGCAACAAACGACTGCCGTAGCTGTCCATAGTCTGAAAGTACAATTACGTGTTACATTCACCAACAATTGATGCAAATAACTTACCGTGTATAATCAAAAACAACTGTAAACAAATAATATTATGATTTTCAAAATACCATCACAATATATATGTTTTGGTTATGTTACACTTTTGAACTACTAAACAGGGCCTCCAACATTACCAAAACATTGTTCTTTTAAATTACGGATAGATGACGCTAACAAAAATATAATAATTTATTGCAACTGTTGATTATTGAAACAATCAAATCATTTATATTTTATTTGTACAATTATATAATGAAATTTATATTGTATATATAAATAAACTTGAAGCAATCATCAAGATCCAATAGAAATACTACATTAGTGGTTTGTTTCTCAACTAGAGTTTATAGTTCAGAGATTTTGGCGCTGCTAAAATTTCAGGTTCACCGTTGGAGCCTTAGGGGCAATTATTAATTTCAAAAACTAAATATTGTTGTCTCAGTTAATGAAATTTATTAATTTCTAGAGTAATTATTTTGATTAAGATTGTCTGCAAATTACACAAAAGCGCCATCTACTTGTTATTAAAAATACAATTTTAAATTTAAATTTCAAAAAAAAAAATCAAATTACTCTTGGTTTTTATATTTATAACTCATAATTTATAACGAATATTAGTAATTATTGGGTTTATTCTTGTTCTGAGAGGGTTTAAACGCAAGGTAACGTAGATTTACGTTGTGTAAATATGCAGCTTTGAGAAACAAACGTGTACGGTTTAAAGGCCTGCTTAGTATTTTGAAAACTTTGAAAGTTGTGTAAAATTAATGAAAAAAAAAAAGATGATGATGATTGAAACAGTTTGGAGGAGACGTAACGAGTTCCGAAGTGTTAATTTCCCATCAGAAGGTGCACGTGAATATTTTAGTTGGATCGATACGGAAACGGGACACGCAACACGAAAATTGGATAAGAGTAGATTTCTTCGGAAATTAAACCGAACAAAAGAAATAAAACAAGAGAGAGAAGAACGAAATAAAAGAAGAGTGTTGGTTGCGTCGATAATGGATGAATTTATGTGGTGGTGGGCCACGGTTTGATAAAACGGATTCGGATTAAAATGATGACAAAATAATTGAGTGTACGCATAGCTGTATAATGATGATGATGATGCCGAAAGGCCGAGAACCCGTGGAACGGATGCCGCTGGACAGAGATGGGAATATCGAGCGTTTTGGAGCGGAGAAGAAGCCTAGTATCTCGCGTGATGCAACCGCCGTAGTAGTCTCTGTTGTTGACCCACTTCTGCGTCGACACGTGTATACGTACGTACGTACGACGTTTAGGAAGGAGTGAGGATGAAGAGGAGAGGAAGAGAAGGAATAGACCATCTCTCCCAAAGAGTTCAACTCGAGATCTTCGACCCCGCACTTCTTAAGAAGAGTTCGTTTCTAAGACACAATAGCCATCAACTCAACGGACTCTCCCTTCTACTCGCAGCCTTCCTCTCACAACATCACCACCAAAAAATAAATAAAAAAATAATTACGCTTTGTTCCATCGTTAGATTTTTCTTTCTTTCTTTTCATTTCAACTGATGCAAGCAAGCAAAATCTACAATCTATAATAATAATAATACAAAAAAAAACCGTTAGAACGCGTCACGATCAAGCAAAGCGTTTAAAATACAACTTGAAACTTCAATGCGCGCTGTTAAAATATTAAGCTAAAATCAAATTTAATGAACCGTTTTTAATAATTTATGTAATTGAACTGAAGCAGCAATGACGAGTCTCACACGGTCTAAAGAATCTTCGAATTGTATCAAAGTTATGAGAAGATTAGAGTCAAATGCAAATGCATCAATTAAAGTAGTCTTTAAGAATTGTTCATTATGAAGAAAAATATGATGAACAAACTGTAAGAATCTTAATAATCTTGTGCAAAAACTTCAACTAGTTTAATATAATCTTTGAAAGCTAAACAGTAACTGTTCCATTGTGATGCGCACTTACTCGAAAGTCCATCGAAAATCTGTGAATACATTATACTAATATACTCTACCGTTAAATAACGGTCGTCCTCCGGCTCGATTCCCAAATAACTCAGTTACGAAATCATGCTGAATTTAGGTATTTACGATTGAATTTTCCTAATCGAATTGAATCAACCTATAATTTTTGCTGCATCATTACTACTTCCATAAGAAATTTCTTTACGTATATGTTCTGGCTATTTATTTATGTTTGGTTCCAACCACGGAATCAATACCGCTGGTAACGAGCGCACGGAAAAAAGGCATCATCATCATCCGACACGGACTCTCCTCTCCTCTCACTCCAGTTGTGCTTTGGCCCTCGACCTAATTCGCATTTAATATCTCGACCCAGATGCTGTACTTCTTCCACAAACTCTCAAATACATAGAAACACAGGAAAAAAACAGCAGCAGCAGCAGCGAAATTAACGGAGTAATTAATGAATCCATCTCCTCCAAAATCAACTTACTTTCCACGTCTCATTTTTTTGTTTGTTTGTGGGCTCGTATAATTAATTACTCACGAAGATTGATACCCAGTAGCAATTAGCAAAAAGAAGCATTTTTTTTTCCTTTTGCCCGACCGTTTTCCCGTTAATTTTACTGTTTTCAGTACGTCCACACACGGGAATGCATATCTTACGTTAAAAACGCGTTTTCCATGACCAAAAAAAAAAACAATGCACGTACTTAAACAAAATCATTGTAAAACTGTTGCTATGGAGATTAATAAACGTCAATTATTGCAAATGATTCTTTTGGAAATTTCAATTTAAGTTAAGTGCTGTTTTCTACATACATTTATTTTTTTAATCTTTTTAAGTTGAAAAGCATTTCTTTAATGCTCTCATTTCCGCCGGAGCGTATTATAAAATAGAACTTTTTGATGTGCACCGTTTTTCAACAGTTGCAGAGGGTACGTGTGGATGATACACATCTGGTCTGCTTCAAGCAACTAATGCTCATAGTAATAGAACAAAAAAAGAAAGATTTTTCTCGCTGATTCGTTCATTACTCGACGCACCTGTCGCAATGATTGTGATGATGATGACGACGATATTGGCCGTTATAATTGGATATTTCTAGATGCAACGGGAACAGAAGAATATCGATGATGATGGTTTCGTTTCCCAATTCTCGTACGCTTTTGGTTGGAACGGAAGCGGCGCGTTCCAATTGTGCGATTGTGCTTTTCGGGCAATTACCGGGAATCGTTTTAACAACGAACCGACCATTGTTGTTTCATTTGGAATGCAACAACGAACAACACGCAGATAGTTGAACGGAACAATGAAATTTGAAAAGAAGAAAACGTGCAATTGATAGTTTGACGGTAAAAGGCACTGATGCTCAAAGCTTTTCATTTCATGGAATACAAATTATCGAAGAAGTATATACTTGGACATTCTATTGACCTGTTTATAACTAGAATAATACCAGTTTAATAAGTATAGTTAAAATTAACAGTGCATTCAATATCTCACCTTTCCAACGAACCTACATACATCTTTGTAGTATCATCGAGTCGCCTGTTATAAGATGTAGAACATTTTTTTCTCGATTTTTTTCAGTTGTTACAGTTTATCGTGAATTGCTCCACAACCCCTTAAGGTAATTACATCATCGGCCACTCGTTTGAAAGCTAAAATTCTCACCTTTCCAACAAGCCTACATACATCTTTGTACTGTCGTCGAGTCGCCTGTTATAAGCTGTAGTACATTTTTTTCTCGATTTTTTTCAGTTGTTACAGTTTTTCGTGAATTGCTCCACAACCCCTTAAGATAATTACATCATCGACCACTCGTAAGAAAGCTGAATATTTTGTCTTTCCAACAAGCCTACATACATCTTCGTGCTATCATCGAGTCTCCTAATATGAGCTATAGAAATTGAAAAAAAAGAACACATACTTAACGTCTTATACATAACACAGAAACGACGGTTTTCTCGTTTTTTTTCAGTGTTTTCGGTTTTTCGTGAATTGCTCGACAACCCCTAAAGGTAATTTCATCATCGACCACTCGTTTGAAAGCTAAGATTCTCACCTTTCCAACGAACCTACATATATCTTTGTATTATCATCGAGTCGCCTGTTATAAGCTGTAGAACATGTTTTTCTCGATTTTTTTTAGTTGTTACAGTTTATCGTGAATTGCTCCACAACCCCTTAAGGTAATTACATCATCGACCACTCGCTTGAAAGCTAAGATTCTCACCTTTCCAACGAACCTACATACATCTTTGTAGTATCATCGAGTCGCCTGTTATAAGATGTAGAACATTTTTTTCTCAATTTTTTTTAGTTGTTACAGTTTATCGTGAATTGCTCCACAACCCCTTAAGGT